CCTTGTGGTCGGGCGGTGGGAGACCGTGTTATCGGCAGAGACCGGGTTCAGAGAAGACCTTTGCCTGTTGATTGGAGGTTCGGTGATAGGACCGATAGTATCATCAAAGGCCGTAAGAACTAGGTTAGTCGCGGCTAGGAGGACGTAGTCTATGTGGTGGCAGAGGACCGTATTCTGGCAGGGACCGTGTCAGGCCGCGTAACCGATGTTGTGATGGTATGTCGGTCCCCACTGGAACCGTGGTATTTATCGACAGTGCGTCAGAAGACCGGTAGGGTAGGGCGGTAGGATATATAGGAGTCAGGTGTTGAGTTCCCTTGGAGGTAGTGTCACTTGGAAGATCGGGATGGTTGGATGGTCCTGCGCTGGAAGTAGGACGTTCGGGTCTTAAGCAGGACGTTCTTAGTGTCGTTCAGCAGGAGCGTCGGGGTCGTTGGGAGCAGGAATCGGGATCTTAGACTTCGGGCCTTGACAATACGTCGGTCTTGGTCTCGAGGATGTAGGGACTGGTATTTGTCGGCCGTTGACAAGACGTCGGGCTTGGGAGGACGTCGGGGGATGGAATAACGTCGGGCCTTAAGTGGTGGTCCGGCGGAGGTGTGTGGGGGGAGTGTCGCGAGGTTCCTGCGGGGTGGTCACGTGATCCGACGAGATGTTCCTGCGGGTGTCCGGCGAGTTCTGCGGTGGTCCCGGCGGTGGGTTCTGGCGCTGTGGTCCGGCGGCTTGTCGGGAGGAGAACTCGTTCTTCTCTTCTCTTCTTCTCTCTCTGTTGCTTGGATCCTCCTCTTGTGAGAGAATGATGGCTTACTATTTATTAGATTTCTGAGGATGGCGCATGGCCCGTTGTAAGATATGGTGTGTGAGATGCAGGCGGAATAGGGAGTGGTCAAAGGACGGTGTCCGATTATCTGAATCTTACGATCGTGCACCGTTCATTTGTAACATTTGAAGGCCTTAGCTGATGTCGGATTCCGTGATCTTGGTCTCGTTTGGATTCGTCTCGTACGAGCCCTTCATCTCGAGTTATAAGACTCGTCAAATCGGAGTCTGAACTCAAATTGCGGTTTGAACCTTCCAACAGTGCTTCGGATCCATGATTTGGACCCATTTGGACTCAGATTGGGTCGAATTTGGTGTCGTTGGATTCGTATTTCCGAGACGCTCAGTTTGACTGTAAGCTCGCTGAAATCGGAGTTCAGGTGCTCCCGGATTTAATTTTTGAAGTTTCCAACTTGATTTTTGCCTCGAGATTCGTGCCCGATCAAGTTAATTTTCGCATGACGTATCAATTTTTAAAGTAAGAAACTTAAAAAAAAAACTATGCAGCCAATTAGGATTGACAATTATATTCAATTTTTTTAAAATCATTTAACAATCACTTCATTTTAAATAAATTTGAAATCAAATAATTTAAAGATAGATTATTCAAAATAATTTTAAGGCAATTTTCTAAATTGGAGCGGTTTGAAAATTTAAATTAGCTGGAGCGGGATCAGAGTAAATTTAAACTTGGTGCATTCATATGCATTCAATTCAAGTCAGGGTACAAGACTTCTTCGATTTGCTAATTTAACGAATTAAGAGAGTATATTATAAATAATTGTTAATTAAAAATAAATGAGTTAGGCGACTATATTATTAACAATTAGACATAAAAATAATTAGATTAAGAACCAAAATAGTTACTAACTAATTTATATATTATATAATATATTACCTAGTATAATATATATTACAGCTTATATTTTCTATTTTTAAATACTTATTAAATTTAAAATTAAAGAATTGAGTGTATATTTATTCTAATATTATTCTACTAATAATTAAAAAAAAAAATTATTTATTTATTTTTCAATGTTTCTTGACTTTTTTACTTGTCTTTAGGTGTTTTTGTGCGCCTATTTATTAACTTTGGTATATTTCTGTTTGTTGCTAAAAAAATAAAGTAGAATAAGTTAATTGTAAGTAATCTTCTATGTTTCATAACAGATTTCACATGTATTATATATATTCAGGCTGTAGCTAGCAATCTTATTGTTATTAATATTAGAACATATAATTAATGGCCAAATACAAATAATATTTTATTTACTATTGAATGCTACGAACTTGATTGATATACTTTCATATCCAATTCAGTTCTATTGCTTAGATTAGAATTTTATTGCGAATTTTGATGTTTTAGTGTCAATTTTTTTTAAAAAAAGGTAAATATTATTATTAGTTGATACTATATCATAAAAATATTATAAAATTAATAATTTATTCAAATAAACACAAATGAGAAATTATTTTGCGGAGGCTATGTGGTAAATATTATTATTAGTTGATACTATATCATAAAAATATTATAAAATTAATAATTTATTCAAATAAACACAAATGAGAAATTATTTTGCGGAGGCTATGTCCGCAAGTAAATCAGGTACAACGGTGTCAACGGCATCGAGCCGTGGCACCGAGAGGTACTGAGCAACGATACCAAACGAATGAGTGACGTGGGGCATTCTGATTGGTCTCCGAATGATATTCGGCATCGGCACATAATAATTAATCCAATTCAACAACTAGTTCAAGCTGGTCGTTAAAAATTTACATCACTCCCTACATAGTACATACAATAGTGATCTTACAAAAATATTATCAACATGCACTAATAACTAAAAAAAATCTCAAAATATGTATGATTTTTATTTTTTTTTTTAAATTTGTAAGATTTAGTATTTTACATAAAATTATGAATAATATTTTTCTAAATATAATCAAATGATTTTGAAATTCTATTTTTTTTTCTAAATTCTATCTTTTTTCATTAAGAAAATAAAACCGGACTTTTGGGCCCAAGGTATTGCACCCATAGACGCCCACAGGCCACAAGCCAACATTTTTAAATAAACTCCCTCCATTAACTAACCACGCCGTTCTCAGCTTCCCCTTCTCGTTATCTCCACATGGCTTCTGCGATCCCTCAAAAGCCGCCTTCCTCCTCCTCAACCACCTCTTCTTCCAACGATGAAAACAGCTCCACCATCACAAGCTTTCTCCACCTCCGTCCATCCGCCAGCTCCGGCGAGACCTCCGCTCACCAACCGTCCCTAGACAAAGAAATGGTTCTTCGCCGCATCCGCCACTGGAAACGTGTGAACCGACTTCACGGCGTGCTCGACTCTTTCCTCCGCTCGCCGCTGGAGCTCGCGGAAAAGGACCGCCTGAACGCCGGCGATGGGTGGGTCGACGACGCCTTTCATCACCGTGATTGGCTGACAAATCAGAGATCGTGTATTTTATTATGCAATGTTGCGTGTGGAATATTTTAATATGGATTCGGATACTGAGTATCTGAAAGGAAGCGACAGCACTGTAGATGCCACTCCATGAAGGCCGTTAAATTTTGTGAATGTTTAAGTTCTTCAGCTATGAAATAAAACAGTATTGGCAAAATTTAGCAAATGAAAAAATGTTATAAATCATGACAGTTCTTACATGATAATCAACGAAGATGATGGGACTATGGGAGCAAGAATTTTCTCTGTTATGCCCGTTGAGAGTTTGGATGTTCTTGAAATTAATTTTGAAAGTTTTTTATTCAAATTAACCTTGACATTTGTGCCTGATCAAAATAATTTTTTGATGATATATCAGTAGTTATTTTGGGTTTGTTTTTGATGATTTATAGTTTGAGTCTTCTTTCTTTTTTGAATTTAGATTTAGATTTTGTTGTGTGTATTGAGTGGCTTCTTTGATAAGTAAATATCAATGATTACTTTGTTATAGTTGCTTATCATTTGCTAAAAAAGAGAGTATTTTCATTTGGGGTAGTAAAAGGCTCAATGTAAGCGTTTTGATGGAGAAGTATAGAGAGAATAAGGAGGTTCTACATATTATATTTATTGATTTAGAGAAAGAATATGATACAATTTCAAGAAAAATAGTATTGAGAGTTCTAAAAAAGAAAGGGGTTAATAATAGTTATATTCAAGTCATTAAAGATATGTATGCATGAGTTGTTACTTGTGTTCAGACATAAGATGATTTAACCAAGTATTTTCCTATTTCAGTTAGATTACATCAATGATCAGCCTTAAGCCCGTATCTTTTTTCTTTAGGATATTCTCAATAGACGTATGCAAGATGTTGTACCCTCATGTATGCTTTCTATTGATGATATTTTTTCTTGTTGATAAAACTAAAGATGAAGTTGAAGGTAAATTTGAATTATGGAGGTTAATTTTATAGTCCAAAGCTTTCGCTTGAGTAGATCTAAAATTGAATATATGGAGTATAATTTTAGTAATAATAGTTAAAGTAGTAAATTTGTGAATTTGAGTGATCAAGCCATTAATAAAACTATAAGAGTACACGATCTAGATATATTGAGTCCACTATTTAGAGTGATGGTGAAATAGATGAGGATATTATTAGTAGAATTCAAGTTGGATAGTTGAAGTGAAGGATTGCATCGGGCTTGCTGTGTGATAGAAAATTTCCCTCAAATTTAAGTAAAAATTCTATAAGATGGTGGTTATATTGCAAATCTTTTTTAGTTTAAATTTAAAAAATGATATAATTTAAATAATGCTTATAAAAAAGAATTAACCATAAATTTATCTAACTAATATAATAAAAGATTAAATTAAATTAATTTAAATTTTTATGAAAAAGGAGTTCGGGTTCTCCCAGAATTAATTTTTGAAGTTTCCAACTAGCTTTTGCCTCGAGATTCGTGCCCGATCAAGCTAATTTTGCATGACGTATCATATATATATGTAATTATAAGATGTAAGCCGAATTAAAAAATGATTTTTAAAAAAATAATAAAGGTAGAAATCGTAATTTTCTTTGAAACCGGAATTCTGTTTCATTTTCCAATTTTATTTATTATTAAAATTTGGGCCGTGCTCAGCATTTATAAAAGTATGCTGGATTAAATTAATAAATTCAGAAATATAAAGTATTTAATTAATGTGGAATAATTTGTTATTTAAGAAAGGAAGGGCACATTTCAAAGCCGCACTCCATTATCTCCGTTTCCGCCATTTTCTTATAGCTAGGGCTTTAGGGTTTTGGGAGGAAGTCAGTGTGCCATGGCTTCTTCTGACGGCAGTCCATCTGCAACGGCTGAAATAGCTGCGGAGGGGACCTCGGCGGATAAGTCTCCGGCCCCAGAGGTCGATGAGGTTCTACTTTCCGCTTCGGAAGAGGGAAAGGGCTTAGATGTCGAGAGTAACGTTGGTTCGGCTAACGGTGTAGACGCTAGCTCTTCCGAACACGAGGAAGGAGACGAGGAGGATACGCTAGAGCGTGCTACTGAGCTGTTTGAGAAGGGATCGAAGGCCATTGAAGATGGAGATTTGGCGGAGGCCGTCGATTGCCTTAGCCGCGCCTTAGAAATCAGGTAGGGGTGACTTCCATGATTTGGCCTCTTTGGGATTGCTATCAATCATTCAAAATTGCGAACCTGTCTCCTCGCCCCCAGCACTGCGAGAGGTGCTTGCGCTCGTACAAAACCATTTCAGTGGTGGATGAAGTAGTCATTTACGTTTTGCTTTCCATTTTTACTTTTATTCATACTATCTTGATCTAGCATGCATGTGGATGGAATTCCAGTGCAATTTTGGTCTATCTGAGAACTGATTTGGCAATATTTAGGAAAATAAATTACTGTTTCTTTTGTTTTGTTTAAAACGAAATATTGAGTGGGGCGATTTTCCCTTAGAACACCTTTTTCTAGATATTGAGCCTGAAAGTATTATCTTTGTTCGTAAGTTTGTGGGGGCACATTTATTTTGCGTTTAGTTTTGTTGATTATTTACGAGGCTTAACTTTGTGCTGTTTATGAATGCTGTATGGGATCTGTTTAAGTTTCTATACTATGCAGGATTTGAACCTTTAGTTTTGTTCTCATTTGTTTGTTTCATTATGATGTGAGATGTCATTGATATTTATTCTTTGTATCTGTATATTGTTGGATCTTTGTGTTAAAGAGTATGTGCTGATTTGGTTGGCGAGATTTATTATTTTGTTTTTTTTTTTTTTTTTTTTTCAGTTCCTATCTTCCCCCCATTTAGCTGCTGTTGAGTTATTGATTCAGATTATCAAGCTTGAACGACATTAATTAGTGTTGAAGATTGTCCACTTTCTTGATTTGCTAAATTTATCATTCTTTTTTTACATTTTCCCCTCACTTATGTCCCCATTATTCAACCCTAATGGCATTACTTAGTCTTACAGTGTCACACCCCGTTTTGACTCCCTTTCAGTCAACCTGGAGTGTAACAGAGAATGAAAATATGGAGAGATTTATCTCCTATTAATGCTCATCTTGAAATACATCTATTAGAATCAAGTGAGTAAGAGCTAGTCTATCTAGACTATCCTAACACATCAAGTTTTTCAAATATTAAGATTCTATTTCATATTTCATAATTGGAAGCATATATAAAATACATCGAATAAAATACCGAGCTTACTAAATTTTTAAATAATATTTTTGTAACTAAAAGTTTGTATGTGCAGCTTCTTCTTTGACCTCTATGTATATCCAAAACGTATGTACACAAAAAGTGCAGCTAGCCTTTCTATCTAGTGCCCCACAGCTTTTTTTCTTTTCCTGTAGTGCAACCACTGCTAGTGAGTTAGAGGTCAATGAAATACACAAGCAATGTATAAGAAATAAGAAACATGTTTGCAATTGATTAAAAATAATATGTGAATTTTTATAATAATCATAAGTTGTACAAGATATCAATGTATATCTAATTTTTCACGTTTCCTATTATGTTTACTGTTCAATACATTAGGCAAGTCATATAGTGACTATAAACTTTTACACATTTACAACTCTCAAATTTAAGGTTGGGTCCGTATTCTCAATTTTTAGAATTGAGGACCACTATTTTATTCAAGTTTGAGTTCAATTTTTCAATTTTTAGAAGTAAAAGATTGTAGGGTGCCTTCTGTACGACTTCTCTAAGGCTTTCCTTGTTAGGTCTTTCGCGTTTACTTGTGCGGGCCTATCCCCATATATGATTTATCTCATTAGATTTTTCATTTATCCTTTTAATGCATTTCACATTTTCATAATAATCATCAAAATTGTTATTGAAATAAATATTTAATGAATCAGTTACAAAATACATAATGAAACTAAAAATAATGCTATTGAAATCACATAAAAATGCAGTCACAATTATATAAAGTTTTACTATTTCCTATACCAAAGTTTAAGTATCTCATATCGTTTTATAGGGTAGTCAGGTAAATTTGATCACCTGAAGTAACCCAACCTATTTTGGCTCTTATATACAACCTAAATAATACATTTTTACCCTGTTTTACATGCATTCAAATAAAATATGTGTTATATAAAATCTTACAAATTTACCTCAATTGCACCTCCTCATATTGAACCCAAAATTCTTCTCGTATCCCCTTCTTCCTCTCTTTTATTTCTCCTTAATTCCTATACTCATTTCTGATTTTGGCTATAGGGTTTCAACAATTTTTAGCAATAACAACATTTATCTCTACTCATTTCTGATTTCCACAAATATTAAATTCAGCACACAAACATTGATTTCAGCAGTTAAATTCAACACCTAAACTGAATTTCAGAATTTAAATTCAGCAAACCTGAATTTCAGCAATTAGCTTTCGCACACCTTTGTTTGTTGACTTTTCCTTTCACCACAAACAACAGCCAGTCACAATAAACAAGAGCCCGTCACAACAACAACAGTCTGCAGCAGTTTTTCCCAACTCTTCTGCACAACCAGCTTTGATTTCCAGAAATTACTAAATTCCAGCAACACTGGTTTCAATACACTCTAATTTCAACATGTTTCTTGCAGATGTCAGCAATAATAGTAGCCCTTTTCTGATTTTCCGCACCTTTGTTCTCTGAAATTTTCCTTCACAGTAGCCCCAACAAGCAGGACCCCCTCCTCAGCTCGCAGCTTGCTTCCAATGTCCATAGGGGGATGGGTGGGGAAAAGAAGAAATGCTAATGCCTCAACATAACAGAACTTATCACACTGTTAATATTATAATAACACTCACAACTCCACTAAACCTTTCAGCCGTTCCCAACCATAGGATTCCATCAGCTTTATGCATGCGGATTTAAGAGGACAGCTACAGTACACAATTAATTACTTTCTAGTTTAATTATAGTAGTTAATAATTAATAACAATAAATATTTAATTAGATGTTAATGAATTATTAATTGAATAAACTATCAAATGAATTTGTATATATACACTTATATATATCAAAATGTTTGAAATTCAAAATAAAATTTAGTAAAAATAATTTTGAAATGAGCATATTTTTCAAAAAAAAAAAAAAGAGTCATGCTTACAATTTTGAAAATTTTGAGTATTATATATAGTTTGGGAAGATATATTCAAAAAGTGTATGCGTTGTTTGTTTGACTAGCTTCAGTTTCTTCACTAAGGATTTTTTGGCACTAAGGTGTAGGGGCTACTCAATGCTTTTCTTCACAGCTTACTGCCTACCACCCTTGCATAGGCATGGTTCCAAAACCACAATTTTTTGTGATTAGTATTGTGTTTCAATTCCTTTTGTGGCAAAAAGGCATTGTGTGTTCATAGTGTTTTAAAACTTTTAATTGTTCTTCATACTTTATAACTCCGTATTGATTAAATGCGATGAATGGATGAGATTTGAAATAAAATTAAGGGATGGATCATGGAAGATTACTGGCATGATAAGGCCAGTTTAAGTGAATTTTACTTCAATGACACTTAAATTATTTTTTCCTTTTCTTTTAATAATTTCTTTCTCCTATCTTGGTGTCAGCTGCCATGAAATATTGAAAATCTAACTTATGATATGAAGGGTATTATTTTATTTTAATAAATGCACCATCCACTTTCTTTTTCTTATTTCCTTATTATTACTTTTTTTTTGAAAGTACCTTATTATTACTTGACATCACCATTTAGGCCAAGCACAAGGGAACATTATATGCTAGATCCACTTAATAATAGTAGCATTAATCTTGAGAAATTATTATTTATCTTGCACTTAGAGTTAATTTGGTTGGCTTAATTGACCAAATAGCTAAGTTATCTTACTTCATAATTTTAGCTATCCTAATTAATTAAAGCTTAATTAAGTTGATTAGGATCTTAGTTTCTTAAATTTGGACTAATTAATTTGCTAAGCACCCTATTGATATGCTAAGCTAATTTTATAATTAATTTGGTTGTTTAGTCTATCTTAAAAAAGGAGCTTATCATGTAATGCGCTTATCGTTTAGAATTGTCTTATTAGTCCTTTGGAGAAACTCTTATTGAATGAAGCATTGCAGTTTGTCCCACGGGTTAAATGGAAGGCTACCATCCCATGCCAGGAATATCAAATATTTTTTCTGCCTCTTAGGAATCTGTCAGATGTTTGGGAATCATCTAGTTCATTGGGTGTTGATGTGTTGAATTGATGGTATCGTGTAGATCATAATCCTCATTGTAGAGATAGAGGATTTGGTAGAATCTTTGTTTGATGGTGCAATATTACCTAATTGTGTCCTCTATATGACGTTTCTAGATGCCATCAAATTTTTAGGAAAATGGTTACCTTGAACATTGGAATGTTGTAATCCCATTTGATAAGATTCTAGAAGAAGCCATAAATTTTTTTGAGTTGGGCCTTTTCCATCTACCACACATGGTCTTTGAGGCAAGGGGCATATGTGTCTTCTTAAGCCATAATCTTCTTCTTGATAAGAGGCGGAAGTGTTCCTGCTTGGCTTCACTACAGTTGATTATCAAGTGTTTGTTTTAGGTGAGTTAGAACGAGGCTCCTTAGTGTTACACAAGTTTTGTCGCTGGGCCATTAAGTGATTAGAACTGTAGTTATGTAATGTTAAGTTCCATGGCCTAGAAAGAGGCTGATTTGCAAATATGTCAGTGGGAATGGAAAATATTTCCACAAATGAAGTTAAATTATTGCATGCTGGCAACTGTTGGAAGTTGGCAAAGATCTGTAGACCATGTTCACAACGATCACATACTTCCTGTGCATATGTAATAGAAAAATGTGTCTCTTGGAAAGACAGTCCGACACCCAAGTATGCAAGCAAGATTGAAAGTTTAGGAAAGGAAGATACTCAATAGTCTTTATTATGAGATTCCATAAAACTAAAATATTTTTAAGAGTTCTCAAAATTACTCATGCTTTTCCTCAAAGCATTGTGTTTATAGAGTTGATAGTCAGGGATCATTTATTACTTTTGTTAAGATGAATAATGGATGGAAGTTTTGCACTTTATCATGAAATTTGTGCTAAATGGAAATCCTTTGTATGATGGACCTTCGGTTGATCAGAGGGTTAAGTTGAGAGACATTTTGTCTCTAAGTTGGCACCAGACAGTTTTACCTCAGGGGTAATGGTTGGGTGGATGGATCCTTTAGGCTTTGAGGCCCATGTTAATGTAAATCATAATTAAGTGGTTGGATGCCTTTTAAGATCGTTTTCAAAGGTGATTGTGCTAAAACATTGAATTTTGGTTGATTTTTCAAGATTGATGCTAGTTTCTTTTGATTTGATTGAAGGGCCTTCACACATGTTGAAGTGATTTGATGGTGATGATATGAAGCATCATTGCATTGTCTTGTTTAATTTGGAAAGAGTTAAATATGCAAAATGTGTTGCGCAGTCCTTGATTAAAACTGCCGGGTCTCCACTTCAAGTCAATTCAATGCTACAAAATAACATGCAGTTTTAATTTGCATATTATCGCAGCATCTTTGAGTGTTACTCCAATATTATCATGGTCCTTTGGGTGTCTATCTCTTGCTATTGCTACTTCTTGAAAGAGACAAATAATTGAAAATTGTGCTCGTAGAAGAATTTGGATACTTGAAGTTGATTGGTAATGCAATGTTTTACTGCATTATAAATGCTTTAGATTTATCTATTATTTAAAATTGTTTGAGTTTATATTATTATTATTATTATTATTTTGAGATGATATTGTATCTTAAAATCCTCTTGTTAATGCCCAGAGTTGCAAATTATGGTGAACTTTCGTCTGAATGTGCTAGCTCTTACTACAAATATGGTTGTGCACTCTTGTGCAAAGCGCAAGAGGAAACCGATCCATTGGGTGATGTCCCTAAGAATACTCAAAGAAACTCCAACAAGGATGAATCTGCTGCTAACATGGAAGAAGGTGGGAGTTCAGTGCCATCTTCTGAGTCAAAAGCTCTAAATTCATCTTCGAACAAGTCTGAAATTGAAGGAGGTATGCAATGTGTCTAGCTTTTGCATTGAAATTGCCTTGAAATTTGTCAACTATGCACTTTTTAATTTGTTATCTGGTAAAATAAATTACAAGTTGCTGAATTTTTTGACCTCACAAGGAAAGCAGTCAGAGGATATAAATGCTCGATGGTAAGGTTGTTAGAGGATATAAATGCGTAATGGTAAGGTTTTGGAACTTAAGAATCCTATAAGTTTAAGAAGTATGTTGTTTAATGAGGTACAATAGAATTTAAACTATAATTAAATGTAATGTGTGAAAGCATTGCTAATTGTACTAAGGAGATTTTAAAAAAGAATAGGAAAATCTAGAAATAAATGTTGTACTAATAAGGAGATTTATTGGTTGACTAAGTATTACAATTTAAATTGAAGAATTATGCTTTTAAGAAATGCTATAGAAAACCTTTGGTAAGAGATTTGCAAATATGTTAGTTAACAAAGACCGTATAATCAAAAGATGTAACATGATGTGATTTCTATTTTATGTTTGCTACTAAGTTATATTTAAATGAGAATTTGACTCTTAATAGGACACAATGTAGAAAAAAGATTCTTGTAGCCGAAAAAGGAGGAAAATAAAAAAAAAGAGAGAAAAAAATGATGAGGAGAATTGGAAAATACAAAGAAAAAATGGTTAAAAAAGAAAAGGAAAAAAAGGGAGAAAAAAAAGAAAGTTTCAAAAAAAAAAAAGAAGATAAAATGAGAGAATTTTTGGGCGTTTGCGCATTTTCACCAACAACCGTCATCATTGTCGCGCGAATATAACATTCTTAACTCAAAAGCCCCCAAAACCCGCATTCAACGATCGCGGCGCTCCGGAAAACTACTCTTACATGCTTTTCTCTAATGTGGTGGAAAGGGAACATAGTGTGGCACATACAGCGAAGCGACCAGGCCTTATACGTGCTTTTTCTAGCACGGAGGGGACGAATATAAGTACCCGTTGATGCCTCAGTGTCTACGAGGAAAACAATTTAACAGATGCCTCGAGCTGTTGAAAGAGGCCCATTATGCATTTAACCTGTTGTATGTGGGCAAATGCGAAAGAAATATAATAAATTTAAGTGCTCACAAGCTATTGCAGGAGATCCACTGAATATAATAGATGCTGCCTACGAGCAAGTGTATAGGAACAGTTGCAAATCTATAAGTTCCGTACGTATAAAGGGAATTGACATGCAACGAAGACAATGTGTTGCTCGGGATAAAGCATTGTTCTCATGCAAATAATGACGACAGATTTGCAACACAAACAATGTATTGTCTACGAAAAAGAATAACATACGTACAATACCCATGAGCTCATATGAGCTACTGTAGAAGGCCCATCAAATTTTCTTAAAATGCCCCTGCACATGCATTATAATATGTATACACATAAACACAAAGAAATGCGTGTGCAATCGTACACCTACATGGGCATTGACGAGCGTATTATGGGTACACACGTGATGTTTAGAGATGATGTGCGGGTCAGCCAATAATCCCAAGTTCGATCCTGATCTTTCTATGTGACAGGGTAGGAGTTGACACGATTCGAACTGTTAAACAGATATATAGTCACGGTATCGAACGAAGTATTCATTTTATAGTTCATGTTAGGCCTTCAAGGCCCATAACAAGAAAAAATCACTACTAAAGGCATAAAGCCTACAACAAACTTGATATTTTATCAGTAAATAGACATAGTCGATAAGGTTCAATAAATAATATTAAAAAATGCCTTTTAAACACCTGCATGGGTCCTAGCGAGCTTATTATGGGTATCCAAGTGACGTCTCGGGGATGTTGCGCTGGTCAGATATGAATCAATATGATATAATCGATAGGGAAGAAAGTCCTATGTTAGCTAATGTAGATTCAAATTTGTCCCTTTAGACAAACATCCATCTCAGGTTACAAGATTCCCTTGGACGATGCAACCCATGGTTGCCGACAAGGATCCTTCTGTCAGGTTTGGCTAACTACCTCCTCTGACTAGGTAGACCAGGGACCAAGATGACCCAGGGCGACGGAACCATAAGATCTTGATTGGGTCTATCATCCATTCCTCCGCCATCCGCTTTAAGTGCAAGATGGTACAATTTTCAATTTTAAATATTAAATTTCCAAATATCAACCCATGCTGCTACTATATGCCAGATAACACATATTCCATATGTATCTGATCGATGACTAGCCTTAATCGAAAGTTCTCTATCGCTATCGGGAAGGGTAATTAACTATAAGGGCTTGTGTCTATAGGAAACCAAAACTATGATCATAATGTCCTCGCAAAATGAGGGCGAAATCTCTGGTAGTGTCTTATCTACACACCCAATCTGCCTTCTTAAAATTTAACCCGGAACTTAATTTGTTAAAACTCCCCCTGAAAGCAAGGGAGGTCGGGGAGTGAATTTTTGGAGCCCACAACATAATGCAAAGATTAAAAAAATCATTTGAAATATCAAATATGAATAGTAGTGATTACTTTCCAATGAAAATGCCAACCTAAATAAGAGATATTTTGAGTTTTCATCAAACATTTGGATTTGAGGCCATCTTGAAGAGATGAAGGTAAATCTTGGCTTGAGGCAAGTTATAAATCCATGCACCTTTTTGAAATTTGCTCCTTTGTTTTGTAATTTTGAAGAGAACATATTGTATAGTGAAAGATAAGTTTTTCTAGGGCTCCAAAAAGTGAACTAATGGGGGAATTCTAAACCCCTCAACAAAATAATTTGAATTTACTTTTTTGTCTACCAAACATTTGAAATTTCGAAGCCCCTGCATTTAGTTTACTCTACACTTCTAATACCTGCAACCCAACAACCCCTTCATAAATCGAAAATCATGAGTGTTTTTAGCACTTTATAAGTATGGTGAAGTTTTGCTTAAGTATTTGTTGTTAATGATGATTCTATCCATGGCGTTATAGACCAGATGGATGAATTTTTCAATCCATTTAGACTAATAAGAAATATTTGGGATATAGAGATCTTCGATGTTAAACCCACCAATTTTTTTTTAATTATATAGAGATTTTTTATGTGGAGATAGAAGAGTCCTGAATAATAGTGATATTTTGATTTCACAAAGCAATTTGTATTCCAAAATGTTATCTTAAAGTGATGATAACTCTTGGTTAAGGGCAAGTTATAAATCGAAGTATCTTTTCCAAAATCAAATTCTTTCTTCATTTTCTAATGTCCAAGAGATCAAATGGAAGAATGAAAGATAAGCTTTTCTCTTATACCTTAGATAAACTAGAACCATGAGTGCTTTTCTGATGCCCCGAGTCATATGGTGAAGTGTTCCTTAAGTATTTGCTGCTAATGATATTTCTATCTATGGATTTAGAGTCCAAATGGATAGATTTCTTGATTCATTTAGAGTGGATAAATATTCAAGATACAAAGATCTTTACACCAAACCAATCAAATGTTTTTGTCCTACAAACATTTTCCTAGTTGACCAAGAAGAGTGCCCATCCTTCGTCATTACCTTCCCACAAGAAGCTTCGTCTGGTTCTATCAATTTTCATTAATGAAAATTCAGAATCAAATAAAGAGGGAAGTTATACAACAACAACAACAACATCAAGCCTTTATCCCACTACGTGGGGTCGGCTACATGAATCCTTTTTCTCCATTGTGTCCTATTAAAAGTCAAATTCTCGTTTAAATCTAATAAAGAAAGGTCATTCCTAATATTTTCTAACCAAGTCTTTTTAGGTCTACCCCTACCTTTCTTAACATAAGTCAAATCTAATACCTCTACTCTCCTAACCGGGTCATCGCAAGGCCGCCGTTTTATGTGACCAAACCATCTAAGGCGACTTTCTCTAATCTTATCTTCTATCTGGAGCTACTCCAACCTTTTCACGCTATATGGCTCATTTCGTATCCTATCTCTAAGGGTAAAGGCCACTTCATTTCCACCTGAGCATCCTCAATTTCTCTGCCTACCACTTAACTTAGTATTATGCTTCTTCTCTTTAAAGGCCAACATTCGGCACCATAAAGCATTGCAGGCCTGCACTACCATCTTATAGAATTTCCCTTAAGTTTGAGGGTACATTCTATCACATAACAAGCCCGATGCAATTCCTCCACTTCAACCGTCCAACTTGAATTCTGCTGATAATATCCCCATCTATTTTCACCACACTCTGAACAATAGATCCAAGATATCTAAAACGTGCCTACTCTTATTATGACTTGATTCGCCCAAAATGTCACAATCCCCTCACGTAGTGTCTATTACTACGAAAATTACACTCCATATATTCCGTTTAGATCTACTCAAAGTGAAAACCTTTAGGACTTAAGTTGACCTCCATATAATCAAAAGTTTACCTTCAAAACTCCCTCTCTAGTCTTATCAACAAGAAGAATACCAATCAGTCAAAAAGCATACACCAGGTACATTCCTCTTGCAAATGTCTAAGTTTGAGAACATTCCATGACAAAGTAAAAAAGATATGGGCTTAAGGCTGATCCTTGATGTAACGCCAACCGTAAAATAGGAAAATACTTGGTCAATTCCACCTTGTTGTGAACCCACAAGTATAAGCTCCTGCATACATATCTTTAATGATTTTGATATAAGCATTATTGACGTCTTTCTTTTCCAAGAACTTCTCCATACACGTCTCTTGGACTTATCATATGCTTTTCTTACAATCAATAAAATATCATATGTAGACTCCTCCTTATTTTCTCTTATATTTCTCCATCAAACCTACTTAATAAATTGTATTGGCTTCCATAGTCGACCTACCCGGCATGAAATCCAAATTATTTGAGAAACATTAGTATCACGCCCGCAACCTATGCTCAAAAACTCGCTCCCATAGTTTAAAGTATGACACTTAACTTAATACCTCTAAATTCGCACATCTGTCATCACCTTTATTTCTAAAAATAGGATATAACACCAACTCATTCTCCACTCATCCTGACATATTCTTTATTCTCTTCAAAATAGTAATTAAAAGTTTAGTAAGCATGAAATTCCTCATCTCCTAAGCATTTCCACACCTCTATTGGAATATCACTCAGGTCCAACAGCTTTTTCCACCCTTCATTTTCTTTAAAGGCTCTTTAACTTCAGATTTACTAATACGCCGATAAAAACATAAATCTTTATTTTCATCTAGGGTGCTAAGGTCACTATAGTCAATCTTATTTTCACAATCTTCATTAAAAAGTTTAGCAAAATATCTCATCCATCTTTGTTGAATATCATCTTCTAAGAAAAGTATTTTTTGATCTTCATCTTTAATACACTTCACTTGAACTAAATCCTTACTACTCCTATCTCTTTGTTTGGCTAACTTATACATATATCTTTCTCCCTCTTTAGTATCTAATTTATTATATAAATCACTAAAAGTTAATGCCTTTGCATCGCATATTGCTTTCTTAGCATCCTTACGAGCCACTTTATATATTTCCCAATTATCAGAATTTTTAAAATTAAACCAATATTTATAACAAAGCTTCTTATTTTTAATTTTTTCTTACACATTAGGATTCCACCACCAACCATTTTTACTATTGGGAGCTTTTCCCTTTGATACTCCAAAGAGGGAAGTTATACAATTGAATATAATATAAAATGAAATTTATCAATGCTATCCTTCCACATTTGGAGAGGAGTTTGCCTATCTAAGAAGAAAGTTTTCTCCAAAATTTTTAATTAATATGATAATAAAGGTCTTTAGAGCCAAGTGAAAGACCAAATATTTAAAAGTAAACCTTTCTAGAGAACTTTTCAAAATGTTGGCAATAGAAAAGACCTTTTATGTTGACATCCGCTAAGAGAGCTCAAAGAAGATTTTGAGATCAGAGACTCACTAAAAAAGAAGAATATTTTTAAGAGCTGAAACTTTGGATTGGGACTGCAAATTAAAAACTATTGCTTTCTCTACACTTTATCCTTAATCCAACTTGGTTATAACTTTGAGCATTTTATGAGGTACATCGCTAATAATAATGAAAAGAAAAGGTGAGAAATGACAGTTTACTTGAATCCTTTGTGTCATTTAAATAGTTCATCATTTGGTTAAAGAAAAAAAAGAGTTCATCATTAAGCAGGACTCGAGAATTTTTATGCACTAAGGACTCGTTGACCCAATATATGAATTTGGGAGGGAAGTATCTTCCTTTTAGAATGGTAAGAATTAAATCTCAATTGTAAAAATGAAAACCTTTTCAAAGTCCATCTTGAAAATGAAGGAATCTTTCTTATTTTAAAAAGAGAGATTGATGATTTCCTACGTGGTAACAATGCAATCAATATTTCCTGTCTTTCAATAAACGCATCTTGAGATTGGTCAACAAAACATCAGAGGTGGGTCTATTTGCCAAAACCATATCTTGCAACGTTGAAATATGCAAGAATCAATTTTTTACTCTTGGGAGCTGATTGTCTACCGAAAGACAGTCTTAATAGATAAAAATGTTACTGATGAGACTTTTGTTATGTTTGCAAGTGCATATATATTTATTCAGGGTAGAAGGGTTTTAACTGTCAATAGCAAAAAATCCTTGTCCTTTTCACTATGGCGGTATTCAGATTTCTCGAGGTGTTTTTGCTGGCATAGATCTTGAATGTTTTAATGCTTTATGCGAATGCTAGGTGTATTCTTCTACAACTATGTTCTAAAAAAAATATTTGGATGGTAATTTCATTGATTAAATATTTTTAGTTTCTGTTGTGTGTGTTGAATCTGAATGCTGTGGTTCATTAGCCTTTTTTGACTTAGGGATATCTACCACGATATTTTGAGTAAATTAATCTTGTTGTCTGTGTTTTCCTACTAAATGTGTTGAGGTACTAATATGTGACATACAAATAAATGGCAACTTGGCTCAAATTTCTTTCACATTCTTTTCAATAGGTTCTGATCTCAAGAATACGGAAGATGAAAATGAGGGAGTTGAAGGGGATGATGAAGAACTGGGAGAAGCTGATGAAGACGATTCTGATCTGGACTTGGCATGGAAAATGCTGGATATCGCAAGAGCAATTTTTGAAAAGAAGCCAGAACATTCGATTGAGAAAGCAAATGTATTTTCTGCATTAGGAGAAGTCTCCATGGAAAGAGGTTAGTCAGTTCATTGCTTGTCTATTCATCTGCACATACTAGACATTCATTTTAGCATCTACCATGTGCAGAGGATATTGAGACTTCATTGAACGACTACAGGAAAGCTCTATCCATTATGGAACATTTGGTTGAACCAGATAATCGAAGGATTGTTGAATTGTATCCTCTTAATGTAAAATCTAAATTATGCAAGTTGAAGTCCTTCCTGGCATAATTTTGAGAAATCAATATGCGTTTGATGTCCTTAACTAGTCCTTAGAAACTTCAGGATATGCTTGGTGTTGGAGCTGGGTTCTAAAGTTGAAGAGGCTATACCCTATTGTGAAAAAGCTATTTCACTCTGCAAGTCAAGACTAGAGCGACTCAAGGAAGCTTCAATAAAATCAAAAGATAGTAAAGATGCCAGTGACAAATCAGTTTCTGAACTGGATGAAATTGGCAAAGTGGTATCTTCTGAGTCATCAAATCTTGACAGTGAAGTCGACCTGCTCAGCAGCATCTCAACTGAGCTGGAGAAAAAGGTTAATTTTAGTTTAGATCGTTCCATAGTTTTTTTCTTCATGCTTTAGCCATAAATTTTGATTGAAATTTAGTCCAAATGTATGAAATTTACTTTGAAATCTCCATCTTTTCTTTTGCCCATGATGCTAGCATAAGATCAGAAGGGTAATTTCACTTATTTTGCTGGAATATCGGTAGAAACTTTCTGCTAATCTGGCTGATCTATTATTTTTATTTTCTGAATCTTTTATCACATAAATGAAGATTGCTCCTAGTCTTATTCTAGTTAGATTGTGCTATTTCAGTAACTTGGCTTTATTATTGCTTTGGAAAAAGCAGGCTTTGTTTCCCCACGAAAGGACGAAGGCTACGTTTGGGACGGCTTTCTTTCTGCTTCTTAAAGCAACTTTTTTTTTTTTTCATTTTTCTTTGAATTGTAAAGCTGTCTCTCTTCTATTTTCGTTGCTAATCATTTGTGCATTTGATAAACTAAAATTCATTTGCATAATTTATACTGTCTTCAAATACTAATTTGACTTGAAACATTTTGGAACTCAGCTTGAGGATCTGCAGCAGTTGATGTCAAACCCAAAATCTAACTTAACCGAGCTTCTGAAAAAAAATGCTTCCACATCTTCTTCTGCGGAGAAGATCGGTCTTAGAGATTTCTCCAGATCTTCATCTGTTAATTCTTCTCAAATGGCTGCAATTGAAGGCGGCGGCTTTGATTCCCCATCAATTTCCACCGCAGCTAATGGCGGTGTGATGCATCTGGGAGTAGTTGGTCGTGGTATTAAGCGCGCTATTGTTACTCCAACCGGCGCGGAACCTTCCCAAAAGAAGTCCACATCAGAGTTGTCCGCAGAGAAAGCTGAGAGCTGTGTTTCTGAGGTCCTCTCTAATCCACAGACTTCCGAGGCTTCTAGCAAGTAAGTAATCGATTTCTTAGAAATCTTTTATGATGTGACACTTTAGAAGCCTTGTATGTTTACTTGTTTGAAATATAGATAAGTCTAGGAAAAAAATGGGGAAGCTTCTGCTATGGCAGTGGCAGTGGCAGTGTTATATGTTGATTGTGATGAACATGTTTCAACTGTTTTTTGTGGTGTTTTATTCACTTTTCTATCGGCCTTTCTTAGTCATATTTATTGCCAGTTGCCAGCTAGTTAATCTCTCTTCCACACAATGCTTTGCTTATTTTTTAAGCCCATCCATATATCAATTTCCAAATTAAAAATGAATGAATTTTCAGTTCTAATTAGGGGTGTAAGTGAGCTGAGCCGGCTAGTGAGCGGGCTCGAGCTCGACTTGATAACGAGCTTGCGAGCCGCAAGCCACGAGCTCGAGCTCAAACTCGAGCTCGTTTATTAAATGCGGCTCATGAGCTCATTTATAGTGGGACGAGCTCGAGTTCAAGCTTGCTTTTCGACTGACGAGCTGAGCTTGATAGTGCTAAAATTCGACTTGACTTAACTTGTTTATACCCCTAGTTCTAATGTAACTGCTCCTAGGGACCCATCATTATGGCTGTAGCTATTTCTAAAGTAAACAGTTCTATTGTAACTGCTCCCCGGGACTCTTCAAGTCCAAATTATTTAGGTGCTATTATTATTGGCTTGATTTGCAAGGTAGATTAGTATTAAAAAATGATCATAACATTCAAATATTAAAAAATCATAGCATGTCTATCTAAAAAATGACTAAATATGAATTTATTTGAATATTGCAGCATTACTATCTCAAGAAAGAAAAAGGTTAAAATAAAATTTCATGTAGACTAATAATCTCTCAAAATGACCCAGCCTTTTTTTGGCTGATTGCAATTATTTTTTTTATTTAAATTATCTATTTTAAATATATTTTAGAATCATTAAAGATAAGAGTTAATACTCCTCATCTTACATTCTATAAAATAGGGGCAATATTGTGACCTATTGCTCATTGTCTATATATAATTTTGTTTGCACATTAAACTAGAATAGTTTTTTATACTCGATGTGATCTGTCATCCCACTTGTTTAAGATGTTGCATATATAATTTTTACATTGAGATTTTATTTGAGACGATTTTCTCACCGTTTCTTAAAATAAGTTTTTTAATAGAAGGTAGTAAGAAGGTCACTCAAAATGGGGCAAATTATTTTGTGTGGACGTCGAGCACAGGCTAGAAACCATTTAGAATGCGTCACATCAAATCCGCTCGGTACTACGGTTTGGTACCGTGGTTTAGTACTGCTCGTTATCATGTTCGGTACTGTTGTATGTTGAATTGTGTTTGACATCCGCATGGAATAATTTCTCTCAAAATAAAGCTTGAGTAATCCGTTTTGCACTTAGACATATCATATTTTTATTATTAAATAATTTCTATTAAAATATTCTCATGTAATCTTATTAGGATAGAAAGGCAAAAATTAAAAATGTAAGAGGATATTTATTCATTGTTGGCCTAAAAACGGTATTTGAGGTCCACGAGTTTCATAAACAGATCACGCCTAATAAGAATTCTCCCAGAGTGCATGAATTGAATGGGCTGTACCGCACCAATTATGAGGGCAATTTTTTCTAAAATTATACTAAATCGTTGAGCGGCCGCCCAATTCTGCAAACATGGATGGTTCTGACAAGTTAGATGGATACTGTTTTGACTAATTAAATTGCCTAAATGGAAAGGATGATATCTCATATCGGAGAAATTTTCCGTAAAAATCAATATGCTTATGTGTTGGAGCATGTGCTGATGACAAAGCAAAAACTTTCTATCAATTGAGAGATTATTCAATGCGGACACTTGATCATCGGGAGGTAAATCAGAATGAGCCACATCACCCGGTACAAAGTTGAGGTACACAAAAAAATAACGTGGCACGTTCTGATTCACCTCTGGACGATGTCCGTATCCACACAAAATAATTTCACATATCAATCGGTATGATGAGAGATATGCTCATGTAGCTCATTTTGGTCCGTTAATTGGGAGTTTTGACTACCAATCAAGAGGTTTTGGGTTCGAGTCTTACGCATGTTATATGTGTGTGTTTGCCTCACTTAGTCTAAACATCCCCACAAAAAAAAAAAAAAAGATCTACTCAAAATAGAAATGCAAAGAAGTTTAATCAAGCTTGAGTTCGACCTTTTCTTATAAGGAGAGCTTGACTCATTGAGCGAGGGAAATTTATGGTTTCAAAAATTTAATCAATCAAATCATGAGATAAGAATTCAACTCTCCAACTAAAAAATTTCCTTCCATTTGAATCAACCACAATAAAAAAAATTGATCATGAAACCACATATCTATTGGCATTTTAACTGACTTCAATTTCATAATTTATGTATCTGCTCGCAGATGATTGTAAATTTCTAGCTAACTTGAGAAAGTTAAATTCACATAGAATTCTCTAATTCCTTCATACAACACGTTTGTTGATTTATTGAAGGCCTACACCAATAAAATTGATTCTTAGATCATCAATATTTTCATGGATGGAAGAGTTTAATAGATCATACTTGCAAAAGGAGAGACAAGTCTATGATTTATCAAAATTTTGATGTTATTTTATTGCATAAATTGGAGTGTTGCTTTGTGAGCCAAGAAAAGGCGAAGGTTGATGGTTTTCTCTTTTTAAGGTTCTTTGATGAATTCCTTTAAAATAATCTTTGTAATATTTTATTATTCTATTGAATACTATTATCACTTCTCTTTTTCATGTCTCCATCTCTATCAATTTACATTTATGTCTCTTTCTTCATAATTTTGCTTAGTCCTCATTCCATTTTACATCACGATCAACATGCACAGCATACAAATGCATGTTTACCATCTACATCACCTTATCAAAAGATTTATTGCCCTCAGTCTAGATCAGAAATCGATTTACCTATAAAATGTATATAAGTAGAAATGATACTATTGACAAGTAGATCATTAGATGGTGCTTGTGTAGGATAAATTTTTCATGATATCACTCTATGAACATTATGTATTTTTTAGGTATAATTGGCTAGAAGGTAGATCAGAATATTTACGATTGTACCCTGATAAACTATATTCATAAGATTAATGAAACATATGGAAGATTTCATTTTGATATTCTTTCATACATCAGACACAATCATAAAAAAAGTTTAGAAGTACATTCATTGAAATTATTTTTTTCCTTATTTAGGGGAGGAATAAAACACAATTACAATACCCTTGTTTGCATAGTGATTACTCATATGATGTAGATTGAAGTGGAATGATTTTGTGCTTCTTTTGTTCAGCTTATTCACCATTATAAGGAGATGAAGATGCCCTTATACTTAAGCATTTGCTCTTATAAAATCAATTAACTTAAGTGGGATGTGTTCCCATACTCAATGTCAAACCATTGATTGCCAAAAATTGTGTTGGTACATAGAAATAATTTTGATATTCTTGGCTATAATGATACTAAAATAGCTTCCACATTGATTAGTAGCCCTAAACTTTATCTATAGTATGTTTTAGTGCATGCAAGGACAAAAGAAAATAGTTGCAGCCTCTTATTTTGGTGATATGCAAAGGTCAAGGAGTTATTTTGAGCTGATTGGCCCTTTATTAGAGGAGGAAGCATGATGTTTATTTTGAAGATCATAGGCCAGAAAATGCAAGAATGTTGTAAGAGATAGCTATAAGAAGTTAGGTCCATCCAATAAAGCATGAATCTTAAGACACTATTTGAATTGAAATTTTTTGTAGTTAAATTTAGAACCATAGGAACTATGATGTTGGTAAACTTACGATTGAACTGAACGTCTCATGTAAAATAAACCCAACGACATCAAATATGGTATGATCCAAATCTAAGTGAACTCGAATCAAGCACATGAAACATGATTGAATATTTCAGGGCATTAATTAAAGAAACTAAACGGTATCTAAATAATACATGCTTATAATCAAATCGTGAGGCTTGATGAGACAAATCTAGCAAGCCCAAGATTATTTAATTTCAAGGTCTTAAAGACACTCAATTGCTAATTAAATGATTTATGATCAAATAATTCAATATGCGTCGTTCGATGGAGTGTTCTAGAGTTACTGCTGAATTTATTAAAATGTCACTCCATATATACTATAACTTTAGAACTCTATAATAGACGCTCATTTTCCATGATTTGAGAGAGTTTGAAGATCTGAAAGATTCTAAAACTTTACCTCATGTCCAATGTTGATAATCACCACTGACCAACTCCATCATTCGATTGCCATCATTGGAACATCATAATTTGATCGTTATCATCTAACCATCACCGCTCATCAATTATAATCCATTCCTCATCATTTGACTGGCGTTTTTTTTTCTACTATAGACAACCACTATTCATGAATCATTCTCGTTCGACAACTGTTGTCCGACTCACATGTTCGATTGTCAGCATCATCTTTCCACTAATTTTCCCAAAATCTCTATTACAACTATATGAAATCAAATAAGGGGTTTCAATTTTGTTATAATATATTCTCCGGTTATGTCCAAGAATGTACTTGGTGTAACTTCATGTATATAATGATTTATTTCAACTTAGTTAGGCCCCTTGATGTTTTTCTTTTTCAATATATATATATATATATACATGCACAAAAATATTAAAAATTTCTCCTAAACCATATAGTAGGAATGTAAACTATTTATCAAAGATTATAGAGTATGCCATTAAAAGTACAAAAATTTCAAAATTTATCTTTGAAATCATAATTCTTTTTGTTATTTTGTAATTAAAAATTTAATTCAGAAACATTCTATATTTATATAAAATATATTTTAATACATGAGATATATACTTTACACTAATGATACATTTTTGTATGTAGAGCTCTTAATTTGTTTTTCTTAACAAAAATAAAAAAAAAACTCTTCATTAAATAACATACTAGGATGCAAAATATTTATTCAAAATAATAAATATTAAAAAATAAATTTATCTCAAGAAATTAATAATATTTTAAAAATTTTATCTTATATTTTTATACTATTCTAATATAATTTTAATATTTTTTATTTTTTTCTTAGTTAAAAAACGAAGAAAAAAATAATGTCATGAGTAATTTTTTTTAATGAGATTTACTAAATTAATGCATGCCAAAAATCTCGAATAATGAATTTATTTTAATTGACTTAAAAAAATTCTGATTCATTTATTAAATGGATAATATAATAATTTTAAACTTATCCATTCTTTTGGAAGGAATGTTTAAATAGAATTGTAATAAAAAATGAACGAGCTATCAGTAAATTTTGTGGAGTTTCATTCCCCTTTTGCACCTAAATTTAATATACGATAATGGAAAAAATATATATTTTTCTCGATTTTTTTTTTTTTTGACATACTGAGATTTTTTTTATTTTTTAATTTAAAGAGCAACTTTTTGTATAAATTTTTTCCAACTCACTCTCCGCCGTTACAGAACTCACCGATACCCCAATCCCCCGCTCTCTGCTTTGTTCTTCTCTTCTCACTCCCTCCGCTAGTAGTGGAGACTGAGGACCGATTCATGGCCATTTGGAGAGAATTCTGTGGAGATTTCTCTCTCTGATAACGGATCTTTATGATTACTTTTCGTTCTTCTGTCTCTCTGTGCGCCATTGCTTCCATACTCGCAATCTCGGTATCTCGGTGAGACGCGAGATCTCGATCTCCTGTGCTAAGATCTGGTGATCTGATCCAAGCCCGTGAGAGGATCCGGCGAGAAGAAACACCTTGGGTCACCAGGTTAGCTTTGCGGTAGTTGGATGTTATAATTTTTGATAAAGCATTGCTTGGATCTTCTTCCCTAGAAAGACTAGTAATAGATGCATAGAAGTGGCTGCTTGGATCTTCTCTATTAGAGCATCTCTGGACTGTCTGATTTGAGCAGAGAGGAGAGGTTGAGCGGGTGAGAAGTGAGGAAGAGTGGTGAACGAGGCGGGTAAGGGGATGAGATTTTGTTTATAAAATAAGTTATAATCTAGAATTTACTGCGGTTCCTACCCTCCACTACTTGTTTTGTCAAAGTTAAGCTTCATTTGGACATTTTTATAAATTTATTATTATAATTGTCGGAGAATGTCTAGCTTGGGGAGATTGAACCTTCTTTGAGTTTATGTAGAAAGTGGTTCAATGCCCTTCGTTTGGATACAGGATTTATGCAGGATTAGAACAGGATATATGCTGCCAAACAGGATTTACGGAACTTTTAAATCTCACTGCGAGTTAAATCTTCCGTTTCCCTCTTTTTGCCGTAAATCCCGGATTTACTAAATCCGGGAGTTCGGCGGATTTACGGGATTTGGCCGAAGAAGCCCGCGAAAGGAAGAAAGATGGCTTCCTTGGCAACGAGCAAGCTCCCGTCGTCGTTGTTACTTCCGATACAACAGAAGAACGGCGAGGAGGTGTGACTTCGGATCCGACAGGAAGGAACTTCGTCGAAGGAGGCGAAGAAGTTATTTAGCGACCCGTTCAAACTCACGAAGCAGGCGAAGTCGAAAAGCAATGAACAGCTGGAGAAGAAGAAAAGCAAACCCTAGCAAACCCGCAGCTATAAGAAGACAGCAGAGCAGACATTGCCATAACATAGAAACAAATTAATTTAGTTTAATTCGAATTAATGTAATTAATTATATATATTAATTATAATTAACTTACATTCTAGTTATATTATTTATAGTGTTTAATTAATAATTAATAATTAAAGATATAATCAAAATAAAAATTAATAAATTATTTCATAATTAAATTACTTTATAATTATATTATATTTGTAAGTATAATTAATTGATTCTAATTATTAAAATTAGAATTAATAAGTCATTTGTACATAAAATACAAATTAAAATTAAAACACAAATTTAATATGATTTTTTAATAAACTAATTGTTTTAAATCTTGGAATATATTACCAAATGGTTTCACGGGATTTAACCGGTTTTAACACTTGTGTCCTAAAATATTCGTGGCGGTAAAGAGTGATATAGTTTAGCATCTTAGTTTTGTACGAAGATCCAACGCACAAACCAATAAGAGAATATGGTAATAGCGTTTATAAGAGAAACCATAATTTTTATGTGGACCTCTGAAAAGGTGAAAAACCGCGGGGTCTAACCCAATTTGAATGAATCCATTAGTATTTGCAATTGATTAAAAATGAGATCCTTTCTTAGGAGGAAAGTTTTGGCTTGATCTAGCAAATATACATCATATAGAGTGCATTATATGGTGGGAGTTGGAAGAATCGGTGTTGATATGTTCGTTTGGTTGGCAGGACCATAGTTGATGAGCGATGTAGGTCGGAAGGACCGTAGTTGGATGATGGTGGTCAGAAGGACTGTAGTCAAGCAACGGAGGTCGAAAAGACCGTAGTTCAACGACGATGGTCAGAAGGACCGTAGTTGATGATGGTGGTTGGAGCGACGGAGGTCGAGAGGATCGTAGTTGGCGGACGGCGAAGGTTAGAAAGACTTTAGTCAGACGATGGTAGTCGAAAGGATCGTAGTCAGGCGACGTTGGTTGGAAGGACCGTTGTTTGCGGACGATGGAGGTCAGAAAGTCCGTAGTCAGGAGATGGTGGTCGGAAGGATCGTAGTCTAGCGACGGTGGACGGAATGATCGCAGTCGGCGGGCAACGGTGGTTGGAAGGACCATAATTGGCAGGCGACGGAGGTCAGAAGGATCGTAGTCTAAAGACATTGGTCGGAGAGACCATAGTCGATGGTTGATATGGCCGTAGGAAGGCTCGTTAATGGTTTCCCTATGGTAATCCGACGGCGATGGTCAGTAGTGGTTCAACAGTGGCAACGTGGTGGTGCAAATTCTTCGGTGATGGTGCCAAGTTGGAGCTTCAGCTTCAGAGCTCTTCAGGTTTTCTCCTTCTCTTCATCCTTTTTTCTCCTTTCCCCTCATGTGAAGAATGAGGGTTATTTATAGTTTTTTTGGAGTGACTTGTAAATATGAAGAATATCATGGGCATGCTGGGAGTGTTTCATCAAACGACTCATAGTGATCCACTTGATCATAAAATATTTATCAAGCATTTAGATGCGCTAGAGATGTCAGAATTGAATGATCTTGGGCTCTTTGGATGCATCTCGTTGAGCCCCTCAATTTGACTATAAGCATGTCATATTTGGATATCATTTGATAGTCTAATTAATGCTATGAAGCTTTCAAATAGACTTTAGACATTTGATTTGGGCTCGGATTGGATCAAATTTGATGTCGTTAGGTTCATTTCCTTGAGATGTACAATTTTACTATAAATTTACTAAAATTGGAGATCATATGGTCCCGATTTTAATTTTTGGAGCCTCAATCTCATATTTACATCAAGATTCATGCCGATCAAGATGAATTTTTGATGACATATCAACACTTATCTTGTCAAATTGTTTTCAGGATTTAACTTCCCTACTAAAGTTAAATCCTACTTGTTGCCAAAAAGCCAAGTTTTGCTGTGTGGCTTTGAGATTTTTTTAGTCCTTTTCACTTTTACATTTCTTCTTGTTTATTTATTTGACCTATCAAATCTGCTATGCTTGTGGGAGATAAGAAACAAAAGTCATTACCTGGATTGAGATGCATTTGGTGGAAACCGAAAACATTTGTGTCTTCATCTGCCTTTTTAGGCTTTGTTTGATTTTTTGGTACTTCTGTAAAAGACAATTTTAAGAAACATTGGTTCATAAAATGGAGTTTTCTACTGGAGAAGCATATTTAAGAAGTTTTCTCAAAACAGCAGAAAAATGAAACAAATAGAGTTATTGGGAACTTGATTTGACGAACCAAACAATAAATAATAAATGAATTTGTCGTTTTAAAACAGAATAAGCACCAAAAACTCCCAATCAAACGAAGCCTTATAACCTATGAATACTTTATTACCAAAACATGGGAACAATGTGATTTTTTTTTTTTAAATGGGAACAATGTGAATTTCTGGCTCCTACCAGATTATGTTATTCACTTTGGGTTTGTGCAGAGGGAACCGTTTAGCTAGAGGTGATGAAGCTTAAACTCATGAGTTCAACTATACTATATGTTGTTTTCCACAAGTGCTTAAAAACTCTTATACGTGACTCAAGATGAAATGGCGAGTATATAGAAGTTAATGCTTTAATAGATATTCTGTTGTTTTTCCACGTATATAAATTTAATGAAAATCAATGTAGTTTCTTTGTCTGTGTTGAACATTTTGCAAATAATTATTGGATTGGTGGAGATGCATGTGTTAATAAGAAATAGAACAGGAAATAATTCCAAAAAAAAAAAAATGCAAGTAATTCACTTGGACAGGGAGATAATATCTTCCAGAGCTCTTCAACTTGCTCGCTTGATCTTGGAATTGAATCATGGAAGTAGAAGGAATTGCACATCCAATTCAAAGTTTTATTAAATCCAATTGTATTTTGTACATGCTTTGGAGACCTATTTATAACTGTTAAAATTCACTCTCCCATCGATCTTAAAAGACAAAGAATTGCACACAGATGTTGCCATATAAGCAGAAGAAATTTTAATAGCAAATGTAAAAAATATAGCAATAGCTCCATAATAACCACATATTACAGTAACAGAATATCACTAAAGGCACTATTTGTAGGCTTTGAGATTCACAACACCTATTGTGCTTCTTCGTATTATGCTAATTTATTATTCTTAGAAAAAGATCAATGGATTTCTTCATTCTTAACTTCATTTGCTGAAGTACTTCGTTATTGAAGAAAATGTTGGGTTTGTCCCTAGAACCATTGCACGGCCTATTGAATTGTGTTCCTGCATCATGTTATGTGTTTTTAAGCATAATATTGGTGACAGAAGGATCAGGTGTCTCTTTTCTTTGAGTCACTTGAAGTGAAACGTAATGGGCTCGAGGTTCCCTTCACATCAGCTCAGCAATGGCCTGTATGTTTCGGGTCGGCCAGAGCAGCCAAAGGAGAAGGCTCCAACCATGTTTTCCGTAGCCATGCCATACACAGGTGGAGATATCAAGAAATCTGGAGAACTTGGAAAGATGTTTGACATACCTTTTGATAATTCAAGATCTAGGAAATCTGGACCTGTCACTAATGCTCCCTCAAGGACTGGTTCATTTGGAGGTGATAACCTCTGATGCTTTTTATGACATGATGAGAGCTTTCACTGCTTGATGTAGCTTCATTTCTCTTGGTATAGTTTCAGGTTCTACTGCATCATTAATTACTGGAGGTTCAGTTAGGCAGAAATCACACTCTGGACCTCTCAACAAGCAGGGAGAGTCGGCGAAGAAGTTCTCTGGACCTCAAACTGGAGGAATTGCACCTCCATCTCGCCAAAATTCTGGCCCCCTACCCCCAGTGCTCCCAACAACCGGCCTCATCACATCTGGGCCTATTTCGTCAGGGCCACTGAATGCTTCTGGTGCTCCTAGGAAAGTATCAGGTCCTTTGGAAGCCACTGTAGCTGCTAAGCTGCAGAGAACATCCATTGCAAATAACCAAGCTGTAACAAAGCTCATTCAAGAGGACAACTATCCATTCAAGAAAGGCTTCCCCAAGGCAGTATTGTCGGCAGTGATCCTTCTATTTGTGATGGGGTTCATTGCTGGGGGGTTTATTCTCGGAGCTGTACACAATGCCATTGTTCTAGTTGTTGTTGTGGTTATCTTCACTGTCATGGCTGCACTTTTCATCTGGAATCGATATTGGGGAAGGAGAGCCATTGTAGGGTTCCTTGCTCAATATCCTGATGCAGAGCTTAGAACAGCAAAAGATGGTCAGTTTGTCAAGGTTTCTGGGGTACGTTACTTTTAGCCCTGCAAAAGGAGCTTTATCTCTAATGCGTAGCAAAAATTAAAGTTTTCTTAATCAGAAAAAAAGATACTCAAGATGCCCTTATTTAGTTAATTTTGCATTCCTTGTAGAGTTGCTGTAGTGAATCTTATTTATGGCTGTTATCACTTGAGTTCACTCAAACTATTGCAGGTTGTAACTTGTGGGAATGTCCCTCTTGAGTCATCATTTCAGAAGGTTCCTCGATGCATATACACATCTACAAGCCTATATGAATATAGAGGTTGGGATTCAAAGGCAGCCAATTCTCAGCATCGCCGTTTTACATGGGGTTTAAGATCTGTAGAGGTGAGCAAATTTATGTTTCCATAAAGATTATTTTCTTATTCATTGAAGAACTTGATTTACAGCCAAAGGAACAAAATATCCTTTTATTTTATTTATTTATTATTATTATTATTATTATTATTATTATTTGGAGTTGAATCAAGTGGATGAAAACTTCTTTTGGCAGAGGCATGTTGTAGATTTCTACATCTCTGATTTCCAGTCGGGGTTAAGAGCATTGGTTAAAGCAGGTTATGGTGGAACTGTGACACCATATGTTGATGAGTCGGTGGTAGTCGAAGTGGACACTGGCAACAAGGAAATATCAGCTGAATTTCTTAGGTGGCTGAGGGAGAGAAACCTTTCAAGTGATGGCCGTGTGATGCGCCTTAAAGAAGGGTAATTTCATATTTCTTTTCTAATTAGCCGCCTGATCTGCTTCTCACATTTGAAAGTGCCAAGGAAATTTAATTGAAGCACATAGAGGAAGAAATAATAAATTACTATCGTCAAGTAACTTTTCTCATCTCTTAAACATTACTTTGTTTAATCATAATTGAAATGTTACCCGTGAAAAGATGTTAAGATCTTAGTAGAGAAATGGATAAAGCTCAAAAAGTAGAAGGGTGAGAGAGAAAAGCTAAGTCTTAATCAGTCCCTAGTCAATTGATCTACAAATATCTTGATCGAACCTTGATAGAGAACGGCGAGTCGAACCAAACTACAAAGTCAATTCAATGAAAGAAATTTGTAGGATAATTTAGAGAGATTTTGTGAGCCTTAGATGTGACAATTTTAGCTAAAGGATTAATTTTGCATCTGTCCATGCTTGATTATTACCCCCATATTTATAGGTGAGGCTAACATACAACGTTATAGAATTGGCCAATTTGTATGATTACATAGTAATTAAATAGATTGAACTTAGTGTATCAAGTTATATAGCGAGCGATTAGAGCTTGTGTAGATTGCTAGTTGGAAACCTCTGGCGACTTCTAGATTGAGGCGAGCACCCTTTGTGAGTTCTCGTGAGATTCTCCAGTCACTCTGCAACTATATTTTGAATTACTGCATTCTTCAAGCAAATAACCTTAACAAATAGGCGGCTTTGTTACTCTCTTTGTTGAATTCAATAGTGAGGACCGAGTTGGACCAAACTATAGGATGACTAGAAGAGATTCCTCTCCACCTTTGGTTGACTTCAATCTTGGAGTTTTAAAATCGATTCACTTTTAACTTCTTTTTGAATCTCTAAGAACTTTTACTATTCTGTGCGGACTCCAGACATTGTTCGAAGGCAAATCAGAGCACTTCACGTCATCCTTCTGCTGTGTACCGTGGCTGTGTATCGGATGACGTGGCCCGCTCTGATACGCCTCCGGATAGTCATTATTTCATTTCTTAAAGATTTGCCGGATGATGATGATAATAGATAGATAGATATTGTTGCAGGTACATTAAGGAAGGGAGTACTGTAAGTGTGATGGGAGTTGTTCGCAGAAATGAAAATGTTTTAATGATTGTTCCTCCATCAGAGCCACTCTCCACAGGTTGCCAGTGGAAGAGATGCATACAGCCGGCCAGAATTGAAGGTATCGTTCTGAGATGTGAAGACAGTTCAAACATAAATGTTGTTCCAGTTTAGAACGGTTTGAACCGCTTTGTAATAATCACTTTTGCTGTTTTCGTTTCATCAATTCCAGGAGTTTTTGGTGCTTGGTGTTGGGAGTATTTTTTTTCCTTGTTTTGTATAGCTTCTTGATTTGTTTTTTATTTTTTTTGGAAGTCAGACCACCTTTTTTTTTTTTTTTTTTCTGTAAAAAGGTAGCTTAATGAAAAAACTTGGGAATTATATATATATTTTTGTGTGAGGGAGATGGTGATTGTGAAATTTATTCCAGTGAGCTGGGGTTCATGGTGGATTTGGTTTATTTAGGGGTTGTTTTGGTTTGAAGTATGTAGGGGGTTTGAGAATGTAGATGTTTGATTTAAATCTAGCGTAACATTTTGGAATTTACCCTATAGTTCATTTTTGGCGTATTTAGAACTTATCAATTTATTGTATATTTTTCAAATACACAATAAAATCATCGTCATTGTTGTTGTTCGCCACCACCCATCGCCCATCATCGACTGTCAACTACCACTACCATTGTAAGCCAACACCGTAGTCGCCGTAGACCACCGTCGTCGCCGACCATCAACTATGGCCGCCACCACCTGTCGTTGTTAACTGTCAACAAACTCGCAATCGACCACCACCCATTGTCGTTCGCCGCTGGCCACAACTAATTGTCAACAACCACTGCCATCTATTGCCACCACATACTGCTATTGGCCATCGCCGACCATCACCCTCTTTGGATTTTATATTGCAATTATTTTACTTAAAATCAAATAAAAACAAAAGATATCATGCATTCATTTTTCATTACTGTTTTTTTTTTGCCAGCCAACCAAACACCTCACAGTATTTGGGATCAATTTTTAATTTTATATTTTTAAATATATTTTGTTAGTATTTTTAGTTATTTTTTATTTTTGAAAATGAATCATTGTATTTTAAAAAATAATAAAAAAATGCTTTTAATTTTTAATAAAAATTTATGCGGGCTAATCAACAATCCTTGTCCTCAGCTGCATTCATCGATAATTGACAATGACCATTGCCTGTGGCTATTGTTGATGGTTGCCATCATTTGTCACTGTATTATGTAATATTCAATAAAAATAAAAAATTTTAGTGTATCAAATATATTTTTATTATATATTTAAAAATAAATAAAAGAAAAAAAAATGATCTTAATTTATTACTTAGTTATGAAATATTACATCCTTTCATCAGTAGCTGTTACATTTCCTTAAAAGGAATAATATAATAGTAAGAGCATTTTTTTATTATTGTTTAGGGATTAGGGGCTCTTTAAATTCTGGTTATTTGGCTTTGGCCTATTTGCGATACATTTAGATTTCGTTTGGGTTTGGGACGCTTTATTATTGCATCTTAAAGCAACATTCTAGAATAAAAATTATAATTTTTTGCACTAGAAAGCTAATTTAAGAAGCAGTAAGAAAACCATCTCAAACGAAGCCTTAAACTAACGGCTATTAAACATGTATACTTTAGATTTATGGAGGAAATGAACAATTGCTTAGAATATTGGTGGATAATTTTTTTTTTAATTTGGATCAAAAAAAAATTAATGAATCCCACAAGTTTAAGAAAATCTCAATTACAAATATATATATGATGAAATTAGAGAAATGTATTTGAAATAGGCTATATAGTTTTAGTTGGACCAAAATATCCTTATCTTTTAACAAATAGAGTTGAAGCTCTAGCTAATCAGTTATGCAGCCCTTTGATTATGGGAAAATTATTACGTCGGGTGTCCGGATTCGTCCGGACACCAATCCAGACGCATCACGTCACCCAGATATACCTCCTGGCCTGCACTTGATTGAGCCACACTTAAGAGGCGCTGCCGCTTAAGACAAATCGAGTACGGGTTAAGGGGTTCCCAACCGTACTCACCCACCAACCAAGTTAAACATCATTGTGTGGATTTCTCTTATTAGTATGCAAAACATCTCTCATCTGAGTTTGATAAAGCTTTAGATAAATAAATTCCAGGTAAATAACAAAAGCTTAATGCAAGGTGAAACGAGAGTTTCCTGCTACATGACACTGTAGACTGAACAGAGCTTGCTAATGGCTGGAGGCCAATACTACCTGACTTACTGAACTTGACCTGAGACTCAGAAAAGATGGGGGAGATTATATAAATTTAATTACAAGGCAGCGAGCTAGATAGAAGACAAAAGATAACAGAATATGAAAATGGAAATATAAGCCAAAAATGATTGAAACAAACAACAGCATAAAATAAGGGGTAAATTGAATAACAAAAATTAAACAAGATAAAAGATGAAATACGCTGAGAAGTTATCTGTCTACATGGAAGCAAGCTCTCTCATTTCTGCAACAGAAAGAATTGCTTCATTTGGGTATATCTTGCCAACTAGTTGAACGAAGCTTTCATACTTGTCCAGGAACTCCTTCTGCAGTGTCAGGACATTACATCAGCGGTTAGACAAAGCTTGCATGAGCTTGGTATCTTTGAATCAGATCACATAGATATCCAATGGCATACATATAAACACAAAATTTGAAATCAAAATCTCTTAATTCTTCCCAATTTTTCCCTCTACAATTTCAGTTTTCATTCTTAATCTCCACCAACAATTGTTCTTGCTACTCTTATGGAAGAATTAATTATTGGATTCACCAATATGGAAAGCTATAACCAACATTATTATGTAAATTAAGATTGATTATATTTTATTTTCTTTCCTGCATTTTAAGCATGTTTTTGAATAAAATATAAATGGTAATTTTTGGATGAAATAAAACAATAAGTTTTGTTTCTTCCTTTCCGGTTATGTTCATGGTATCAGAGCACAAAAATCTTGATGCTCCCCGTTCTTTTGTGAAGGAGCATGGCCACTAGTTCATCCATAGCGGAATCAGTGACCATAAAAGCAATGGCATCAACTTGTACAGTTTAGTGGTCATCCTCCACTCCCGACTATGAAGATAAATCTCTTGTTATTAGCACAAGCTTAATGGAGTTAGCTTCTAGAAATGAAAGTCTGGAAATCCAATCCAATATTTCTAGCTGAACCAATCAATCATGCTTGAAATTAAAAGAAGAGAGAAAGGCGAATACATAACAGGAACTACAATTTAACAATCAAAAGATACACCAAATTATAATATTTGGGAAGCTGAAAACTCTATCATCATTGTGTGGCTTATCGACTACCTAGAGCCCAAAATTGGAAGAACATTCTAATTCTTTAAAATTGCCAAGGAAATTTGGGAACTATCTGGAAGATAGACTTGAATCTCGAAAATATGGCCCAATGCTTTGAGATTAGATAAAAAATTTGTACCACTCGACGAGTAACAAAATTGAAATCGAATGCTATAATATCCTAATGGAATAGGTAAGAAATGGACACATTCTATGACATTGACTGAGCTGCACTGAAAATGGCAAAAAATATAGGTAAATTCTTGAAAAGGAGTGTGTATTCAATTTTAGCCAATGATTAATTCCTACTCTTGATGAAGTTCGAGGGAGATTAATCGGGATGAAACCATTTCTCAACATCAAAGAATCATTTGTTTGAGTTTGAAGAGTGAAAAGCATAAAACTTAGTGATAACGAGCTCATCAAAACCCATGCTGAGCGTTCTTGATTTTCAATACTCTCCTCTAGCAACTTTCAAGATGGAGAGAGAAGAGATAAAGAGTGGCTAAGCCTAACCACACATGACTAGTGCTGGCAGATGATAAACCGTTTACCATCCGGAACTCTTCAATTTCAAACAGCCTTAAGAATTCTTTATGATCAATACACCCTCACACAAAAATAATCAATTCTCTTCCACCGAAAATTTAAATGCATCATTCAAATCTATGTACACAATTATCAGTGTACTTGCAATAGACTTGATCTAAAGTTAGCTGAATATTCCTCAACACATACTCACCAACCATATAAACATTTTTTATCTCAATCAATGCCACCATTTTTTAAAAACAATCTTTCTACCCCCAACACACCTAACAATGAAGATCATCACAAGGTTCTACTATCTTACTACCAATCAATTAAAATACCCCAAAACTTCAACATGTTTTGAATTTCATAAATGGCTCTTTGTCCAAACTCTAAAATTACTAGTCCAAAGGAGATCTCATCTTAGAAAAGCAAAATATGGTGTAACCTAAGGAGACCCAAAACTCAAAGCAATCAATCGACAAACCTAGAAAACAGTTCAAAGGAAATTACCAACCTGGATTTACTTATTTCTTTGAGAAAAAAAGGAGCAAGAACTTGTTCAAACACCCAATCACTGATTATTTGGCAAACTCAGTAATCATCTCAATTCATAACATTCACTGCCATGATTGATAAGGTTTGTTATAACAAGAAACATTTGTTAAGTTTTTTGCGACAATGAAAAAAACTAAAAAAGCCAATCAAGAGGAAATAAGAATTCATGAAAATAGAGCTTGGGACATTGTTGATGGTTCGGGAGAAAAAATGATAATTAAAAGTAAATGAATCTTTGCTGTAAAATACAAAGTTCATGGGACCATAATAGATCACAGTGCAGGCACAACTGATGGCTTAAGGGTTTGTTTAAACTTTAAACATATGGCATAGACTATGAAAAAACTTTTGCTCTTGTTGTGAAACTAAATACAACTCCAGTCATGTTATCTCTTGCTTCTAATTTGGATAGGGAATTTCATCAACTTGACATAAAAAATATTTTTAAAATGGTGAGTTAGAAGAGAAAGTTTACATGAAAAAATCCATGGGTTTTTAAAGAGAAAAATTCGAAAAGTTTGCAAACAAAGAAAATCTCTCTATATTCTTGAACCAATCTCCTTATGTATAGTTCACTAAATTCAATTCTACTATAAATTAATTAGAATACAAATAAGGGAAAGTTGGTTACAAAGTTTTCGCACATTTGATATGGATGTGGATAATATTGTGATTACATGAGATGATAAAAAAGATATTTATAACTTAATAAGAAAGCTAAAGAGGAATTTGAGGGAAAATACCTACATAAATCTGATAAAAAGACCTAGGGTTTTTAGGATATTTCTCGTGTAAAATTTTCATGTGAATT